TCAGTTCGGATACCGGACCTAACACCCCATGACATAGTTGAGAGCTCATGATACTCCACATTATTCTTATAAACCACTTTTTATCTGAGCAAGGGTAAAGTAGCAAAATTAAAGTGTGGGCCGCTAAATCCACAAATCTCATTTCTTCCCATTTCCAAGAAAATTCTATTGACTCCATAGTTACAATAGTGTACAAAATTCACATATACTACTAGCTACTTCATCCTCAATCCATTATGAATTATTATTTTATGTGGGAAGATATGCAAACTGAAATAATGACACTAAAGAGTATATATGTATCTAGAAGAGACATTTCTATTAAAAGGGTTAGACCTTACTATATCTACTACTGTCTCTTTGGAAGATGATTATATCAGCAAGTAAGTTCTAGCTGTGAGGAAAGTCAGCAACCAACTATGAAATCAAAGCTAAAACAATACAGTACCATTTTCAAACTAATCAACCCATTTAATTAAAAAGGTGTTGAAACCCACCCTTCTACAGAAATAATGTATGATGAGACACCTGACCTTATCTGATACTGAAAGTGAAACAGTCCTGGTGCTCCCACTACTCAGAGGTGGAATCACTTGGAAATTCCAGCCAGCAAAAATCATACAAATCAAAGGAGCTGGAAGACAGCATTTGGTCCCATTCTCTGCTGAGCTGGCAGACAGGGACGACCATGAGTCTATTTTTTTTAAAAAAAGGACAGAACAATTCTTCCCAGTGTGGTTTTCTATGTTACCAAGAATTTGGATTTGCTAGTTAATTTTCAGTCTTCTCCTAGCCTATGTTCCTCTATATAGATACATCCTGAAACCCAATGACTTTTTATTTGTCATCTATTTCTGTAGCAACTTGCATTTGCATGAAGCACTGGCAGATTTACTTCAGAAACATGGAGCACTTGTTTCTCACGGTGTATGAGATTTAATAAAAATGAAAAGAAAGAAGTCACTGTTCCTGCACATTCACACTTGATAGCCCAAAGCTCAGACCATTGATGTCAGCAGGAGCTTTTATGCTGGCTTTTTATTTTAACATGTCTTTAGCTCCCTACAACTCCAAAACAAGGAAAAACATGGTATATATTTTCTAGATAGAGAAACTGAATTAGAAAATAATGATGTGAAGTCCTGTTTGCATCTGAGTTACTCTTTTTCCCTTTCAGTGTATGCTTAAGATTGCTACCCACATGAAGTTGTGTGCTTACTTGACTTACATACATCATACTGGAAGTCTACGGTAGAATCAGGAGACTTCAGGTCCAGTCCTGTGCCTTTATTGGAAGGGTCCCTTTCCTCCTCTTTCAGGAGACTGGGACTGGGACTGGGACTGACAGAATATAAATGAAACATAAAATTTCTGGAGCTTTGACTTTTTATACAAGCTACTACAGACAAAATTTAATGAGCATAAGGAGCCTTATTAATCTGAAAGCAGGTTTTGCTGGCAACTAGCTTTATAAATTACAGCTGGCAGGAATGTATGGTGAACCACTACAAGGTCAAGCTTTACAATTTTCCTAGGGGTTTCTGCAATTCTCTGCTATTCATCTAATACAAAATATATTCTGTTCCACTGTAAATTTATTTTTTATTTTTCTGGGGAGCAGAGACTATTAATTTCATACTCAAAATGTCCAATATTTATGTAATTGCATGAACTGTCTAATTCTAGCAGCTCAATGTCAAGCCCACAAGGTAAAAGAAGCACATTTACTTTGACAGAACACATTTAATATTTAGGCAAGTCACAGCTTCTCCTCATAATAGTTATACCATGAAACTTCTCAAGTATGAGATACAGTAGAATTCCAGTTATGTTACCTTGGAATCATGGATAGTGATTTGCCCTCTGACCGCTGGGCTTCTAAAAGCTGCCACAGTTGATTCTGTAATGTCATGCGTTCCACTGTCTGCCTACACGAAAATATAAGATTGTTTAGCCCATATCTTAAAATGATACCACTTGTTCAATTTCGTATTTAAAAGAGAAGCGCCATTCACCTATATTTTAAGTAGGAAATAGAGAGATTTTAAATATTAACATAAAGGGAATTAGCTCTCCTCTCAGTTGTCTCTGAATCCCTGTGCACATTGTGCAATCACTACATTTGAGAGATGCTTACTTATCAGGAATTATTACAAGGATAAATGTGGAATTGCAAACAGCAGTTTGCTGGAACTGAATGAGTCACAAAAAAATAATATCCCAGAAGCAAGTATGTCATGTCAGAGCAAACTTAGGGCCACTTGGTTCTTGTTCAGTTGAATAAAAGAAGGGAAGGGGAGAGATTAAGAAGTCTCTTCCCACATTTGGTGAATGGCCTTTACTCAGCTGTACAATAGCTCTCAGAACTACTTTTCTCCCTGCAAATGAACTCAGAGAGTAGCTTTTGCCTACTGCATTGGGCTTTTGCGTACTGTGTAGGAATGGTCCAATCTGCTTCAACCTGTAGGACAGAGCTAAGTATGTCCTTCCTGTATTCCAGCACAGTAGGAAAAGCTGTATCTGCTTGCTGTGCAATCTTACCAAAGGTCCTACATGTGCTGCATATCTACCTTAGATTTATTAGAACTGTACATATTGCAGTTTATCACTTTCAGTGTGACACCATGATCTATGTTCAACAACTTTAGAGAACAATCTTAAAAAAAAAGGAGGTATAAATTGGCACAAGAATATAACCTTATCAAGGTTATATCTATCTAGCAGAATATAACCTTATCAAAGACAACATACCTAAAAACACAAAAGTTAATTTGAAAAAAATGTTAACTTAGTTTAGCAAGTTTATCTTCTGCAAATCTTCAAGTTTTCTAGAAAAATAAATGAATAAATGAATTTGCCACAAAAAAATCTCCCTTTCCCTGCTCCATCCAATGTTGACCTTCCATTCTAACATGTAAACATCACTTTAAATTGTGGCTTACAACAAGTAACATTTATTCATTTAGCAACATATTTTAAGTTCAAGCATCTCTAAACACTGTACAGATAAAACTATTGGGAAACTACTGGAAGAGAGAGACTTCCAGGTTTTCACTACTACATATATTCTATCTTTTATCTGGAAGACAAATGGCACATTTGGTTTTACTTCCTGTCTTTCATTCATGGGTAAAGATATGTTATTTCGAGTGAGGCTCTGATTAGAAAAAACGATCATGTGAAAATGACTTTTTGTTTCTTCCAGTCTCTGCTTCTGTTGTTGTAGTTGTTTTTAGTACTTTTCATCTTATTAGACCTGCAGAACTAATACAGTTCTCTGACAGTGAGCTAGATTCTTTCCTAGCTCATATGCCATCAGCAGAATCGTTAACTAAGTTTCAAATGCAGTCTTTATAGCTGGCACATCAATGCCAGAAAGAGGCCAGATGACCTTTTAGGCTGTGGGTTGCACTTGCAGGGCTGACAAAAACAAACAAAAAATCTTTACTTGTAAAATATCATACTTGTAAAATATTTTTTCTTCCTTTAATTTTCCCACTTCCTTCCTCTCGCCTACACATTTCCTTATACTATTTTAAAATCACTCCATCTGTCAGCACTGGCTTATATTTCAACTCTCCAGATACGCTCCAGGGAAATTTTGAGATTAGATTGTGATACATTTTATCTGTTTTAGTTGCCTTTTATGATTTCCTCAGCATCTATTTCTGAATATCTAAATAATAGTGAAGTCTAGTAATTATATACAGTGAGAATTAATGTGAAAGAAAATTCTTCCAGAGGTAGTTAATAGCTTCTTATGCCTGACACTTTTTCTAATGAGCAACTGCCCTCATTCTAGGTAAACATTTTATTATACTAAAAGAATTTGTTTCCTCCATTTTCTCAGTTGGACTATTTTGTATATATTTTCCAGCACGGAAACCTAGACATCCTTCCAGAATGATTCCTGAAGATGCCTGTTACCAGATCCCTGAAGTATTTGTATAGTGTATATACACACACACACACTATATATGTATATATACTATATATAAATTATATATATATAAACTCTTTATATATATATCTAATATAGCATTGAAAATTAAAGGATCACAACTTCTTAGAACAGCAATATTGCTAAGTATTAAAAACAGATTCAGTAGATAAGAAGATAATTGTAGCTTTAAAGGTTAGATTTACTTTATGATATTTAATGTCCAAATTCTGAAGGTCTTATTTAGTTTAGATAATGTTCCTACTAAGCACTGTATAAGGATGTTGGTGTGTCTCCTTAGATAATTATAGACCCAAGCTTGCTCCTGATGAAGTCAGTGAGTTCAGTCACTGAACATGAAACATGCTGAGGCACTAGGCACTAATGAAATGTCTTTCATGGTATTTTGACTTACTGCTTTGTTTGATTTCAAATAAAACAAACAGTGACCACTCTATATAGTTGAAAATAAAACAGCTCATCGAAGTAAATGAGAGATAAACATTGCAAAGTTTATATTGAGTTTCTTAATATACTTTCATATAGATCCTATTAACACACACAAAAAAACCTCCAAACAACATGCATATGCTATATTTTAATGCTATAATCATTTTTATTTATTGAGCTATTTTTATAGCTATTCCTATAAAGTTTCAAGAGAATCATGGATTTTGTCTACAGAACAAAGCGGTGACAGAGAATATTTAGCCACTTTCTGATCCTCATCTTTTGACTCAAGTTTTATTTTGACCATTGACTTGCAAGATATTTCAGCTTGATTGCATATCAAAAAGATCAGTCAGTGGCTTTGCATATTCATCTCCAATCCTTTAGGAATCTTGGGAAGATGATTTGTGATCACATGGCATTGTAAAAGAAGTGCAGAGAAGCATTACTTCATGTCACTGGTTCTGACTGCATCTCTTCAGGACAGGAAAGCATAAACAATACATCACTTAATATCATAATTGATGAAAAGCATGTATTTGTGCAAGTAGGAATTTTCAGCTCTGGTGTCTAAGGCTTTTTTTAGATAATAAATATGCTAATTATGAGATCAGTAAGGAAATAACTAAAATTGTAAAAACCTGCAGAGACATCAAAAAATAAAATGGAAGCCAACATTTTATGTAGGTTCTGTGAGAAACTTGTGTGACTGTCTTGGGTACCCTGTTTAGTTCAAAAAATCCTACTGAATTGACCAAACCTACTTAGCAAGAGAGGCAAATCAAAGCTTTTATTCTAAAGCCAGTAAAAGCAGTTCTTGTGTACTATTTTTCTGTTTACCTAGGGAAAGAATGTCTTGGTTCACCTCCTCCTGTGAGGCAAAGTCTCAGTTCATTCTCTTGTGAAGATTCAATGGAACATTTCTAGCTATCATGTTTTTCCCTCTCTCCAAGCCTTTTCCCTCTGAATAGAGACTTAGATCCAACCTAGAAGGTTTTGCTATTTTTTATATCTTCAATATGAGTTTCTTTGCATCGGGAGTCACAAGATGTGAATACTTCATCAAACTGTAATCTTACTGTTTTGTTTTTGTGCCTTTTTTCAGGAAGGGCTGCAAAGAACGTGCTAGACTGGGATGGCTAGAAGAGCTCAAAGTGAATATCAGAGGCACTCCCTTCTTTGTTTTAGGGCCTATGAAGGTAGGTGTTGCTAGGTCCTAGTATAAGGCAGTTTGTTCTGAAAGCAGTCTTGATATGGGCTTTCCTTAAGGAAAGACTGCTCAAGGGTGATGCTATTCTAGTGCAAAGTAGACGATTCCCACTTTTATCTTGGGATGTACAGTGTTATCAGGTGGAGGGCTTTATCTCTGGCTGATGAGGAACCCAGGAAAATGTCTAAAGACAGATTGCATGCTCAGCTGCTCTAAAGCTTTTCTCATGTTTAAAAAAGGTGAAGAAAGGTTGGGAGGCAGATCAGGCCTTATTGAGCTGTCCTGAACAGTCAAGTAAGTAATTTGTCATGATCCTGACATAACTTCTCTGCCTCTAGAACAAAATCCATTAACACTAGAAGTAGGTGGAGAAAATACAGTAAACCCAGCATAGCTGCCCAAATTGGAGCCTTTCCAACGCAATAGCCATTTAAAGCACCTTAGAATGCAGATTGGTGTCTTGCCTGTTGCCATCTGATGCTTCTGGGATCTTCAGAGGTGCTACAGCCATTCTATCTTCTTACTATGTTAGAGGTGGTATTATGAGAGGCCTCAGACAAGCATGCACCCAAGGACATAATTTTCACAGCTGCTGCTGGTACATCATGAAGGAGTACAGACAAAACAGCAATCATCAGTTGAAAATGAAGATAAGGACCACCATATCTTCAAGGAACTGGCTGAAACTGGGCAATGAGGCCAAATAGAGCTCCCTGAGCCAAAATGAAACCATATACGGAAGTGAGCTATCAGAGTTCATCGGAAAGACCCTGAAAGATGAGCACCAGGAGTCTTGAAAGACCACCAGGGACCTAAAAGGACAGAGGGTGCGCACGCGCGAGGGTGGGGCATATTGTAATTAGTTTTAGGAAATAGAATGAATATGTATGATCATTCTGGGAAATTTAATGCATATGTATGTAACAGCGTGATATAAGTTTTGGCTAAGGCGACGTACGGTATGCATGATAGATGGAGCTATCCCCCATGCATCTAGAACCATAATAAAGAGGATGTCTGCTTCTTAATACTGCATTGGTGTTAACAGCTTTATTCCTCGATCTTGGTGACAGTAAGGTTTTTCAAGAAACTTTGCCAAGTGCTTCCTTCAGGCCACGAATACATCCTTGAATTTTTATGTAGCCCCCTCTGATAGAGCTACAAAACAGGGCAGGAGCCTTCTTTCACCATGCCCTCTGACTCCTGAGCATAGGTCTCTGAGCATGGTGCAATGCTTTTATCAAAGCCTACTTGGGGCCTGAGGCTGGTAGTCAAAACAATCATGCAGAAGCTGCTCTTTCAAGTAGAAAAATAGAATATTTCACTGCCTCAGTAAACTGCAACAGGGTTGCCCAAGAGACTCACAGCCCTTTGTAGGAGAGGAAAAAAAGGCACCTGCCACAGAGACAAGCAAAGGAACCCATCAGGAGCAAATAAGAATCATTTAAATGACTTCCTATCCTTGTAGCCCAAAGAGATGACAGAGGGGGCTCTTGTCAGGAAAGTCTGAACTAGGCTCTATAGGAGTAAACAGCCTACTGACTAACAGAACAAGTCGTTCTTTTCCACATGAAAGGTAACAGTTAAATCAAATATTGAGAGAGCACTGTATAGAAATAAAATGTGGGATTTCTGAAGGCCAGCAGTCATGTTGTGAGCAAGCCAGATAAGGGCAGAAGGGCGCCAGGCCTAGCTGAAAGGGCGGAAGGACTGCTAACTAAGAGATAAGGAGATCAGATAAGGAGAGTCAGATAAGGAGTCAAAGAGTTGAGACAAACAACTAGAGGGGGACGGTCGTTAAAAGTAAGGATGCGTGGACACTGCTAGTTAGCCTATCACACTGTATAGTCAGACGCGTGGACGCGGGGTCTTAAGTAAAGAAGCGCTCGTGTGTTCGGGGAAGCCTTGCATATAAGCGCGATTGGAACCCTGAATAAACTGGCACTGCTTGATCACATTGCTTGATCACATTGATCTTGTCCGTGGTGTCCGAGACCCCCACGTCGACAATAAAACATGGAGAACTCATGGTTGCCATTTCTACTTCTTGTTTTTATTTTTGCTAAGTTATAGGGCAGGGGTCCTCAAACTACGGCCCGCGGGCCGGATACGGCCCCCCAGGGTCCTCAATCCGGCCCGCCGGTATTTACAGAACCCCCCCGCCCCCTCCCCGCTGGGGGTTGCGGGGGGGAAACCAAGCAGCCGCAGAAGACTTCCTGCCACTTAATCCGCGCGCCGCCTCCGCAGCCCCCAAGCACCCGCCGGGACTGGGCTTAAACCAGCGCCTTGTCCTCGACCTGCCCCCTCCAGGGGGTGCCTCTCGGCTACAAACCGCGCCGCCGCCGCCCCGTCCTCCTCTTCCTCCTCCTCCTCCTCTGCGATGCGCGGCAGGCGAGAGGCGCGGGCATCTCCTCTGCCGGGCAAGTTCAGTCGGCCGCCTCTGGA